CCCACCATCCCTGTGCTGAGTTCCTGGGTCTGTACACCTGCTGTGCCCATTATGAGGGGCTCCCACCATCCCTGTGCTGAGTTCCTGGGTCTGTACACCTGCTGTGCCCATTATGAGGGGTTCCCACCATCCCTGTGCTGAGTTCCTGGGTCTGTACCCCTGCTGTGCCCATTATGAGGAGCTCCCTCCATCCCTGTGCTGAGTTCCTGGGTCTGTACACCTGCTGTGCCCATTATGAGGGGCTCCCACCATCCCTGTGCTGAGTTCCTGGGTCTGTACACCTGCTGTGCCCATTATGAGGGGCTCCCACCATCCCTGTGCTGAGTTCCTGGGTCTGTACACCTGCTGTGCCCATTATGAGGGGCTCCCACCATCCCTGTGCTGAGTTCCCGGGTCTGTACACCTGCTGTGCCCGTTATGAGAAGCTCCCACCATCCCTGTGCTGAGTTCCCGGGACTGTATACCTGCTGTGCCCATTATGAGGGGTTCCCATCATCCCTATACCTCGTTCCCAGCTTCACCCACCTGCTGAGCACCAGGGCCCAGTCACAGCTGCAAACACTGCACCCCTGGTAGTTGTGCCACTGACTCCAAGCTGTAGAGGACTACAAATCCTAGCAATACATTATACAGCAATGTAGAATAATATAAAGCTACATACTCTGTGTTGCTCTGGGTTGGAGGTCTGATGTCTCCAGGCTCTCCGGAGACTGTACAGGCTCTCAGGAGGGCTGTGTGGGATCTCAGGAGGGCTGCGCAAGGTCTCAGGTGGCTGTGTGGGGGCCTCAGGATGCTCTGCTGGGTCTCAGGAGGGCTGTGCGGGGTCTGAGGAAGGCTGTGCGGACTCTCAGCAGTGTTATGTGAGGTCTCAGAAGGCTGTGTGGGGTCTCAGGAGGGCTGTGTAGGATCTCAGGAGGGCTGTGCAGGATCTCAGGTGGCTGTGTGGGGTCTCAGGAGCCTCTGCAGGGCCTCAGGAAGGCTGTGCTGGATCTCAGGAGAGCTGTGCGGGGTCTCAGAAGGCTGTGTGAGTTCTGAGGAGGCTGTGTGGGGTCTTGGGTGGCTGTGCAGGCTCTCAGGAGGGCTGTGCGGCATCTCAGGTGGGCTGTGGGAGGTCTCAGGAGGTTTGTACGGGGTCTCAGGAGGGCTGTGCAGGGTCTCAGGGGGGCTGTACGAGATCTCAGGTAGCTGTATGGGATCTCAGGAGGGCTGTGCGAGGTCTCAGGTGGCTGTGTGCGGTCTCATGAGGGCTGTGCAGTGTCTCAGAAGAGCTATAAGGGATCTCTGATAGCTGTACCAGATCTCAGGAGGGCTGTGCAGAGTCTCAGGAGGCTCTGCGGGGCCCCATGAGAGCTGTACGGGCTCTCAGAAGGCTGTGTGGGGTCTCAGGAGGGCTGTGTGAGGTCTCAGGAGGGCTGTGTAGGATCTCAGGAGGGCTGTGCAGGATTTCAGGTGACTGTGTGGGGTCTCATGAGTCTCTGCAGGTCCTCAGGAGGGCTGTGCGAGGTCTCAGGAGGCTGTGCGAAGTCTCAGGAGGGCTGTGCAGAGTCTCGGGTGGCTGTGCGGGATCTCAGGTAGCTGTACGAGATCTCATGAGGGCTGTGCAGAGTCTCAGGAGGCTCTGCGGGGTCCCAGGAGGGCTGTACGGGCTCTCAGGAAGCTGTGCTGACTCTCAGGAGGGCTGTGCAAGGTCTCAGGAGGGCTGTGCGGGCTCTCAGGAGGGCTCACCAAGAGTCCAGAGGCTCTTGTGGGAGGCATTGTTCCAGAGAAGGTGCGGCTGGTGCTCTAAACAGGTTCCACAAGGTCCCCAGAACGCTGTCATGAGGTCCCCGGCAAGCGCAGGACATTATGGCAGCCGCTTGTGGTTCTAATGTAAAGCGCCGGTAACGGCAACTAGTATCGGGACATTCTCAGGAGTACTCATGAACATGTCCAGTATCGGCACCGATGTCGGTATTGGTGCATCCCTATTAGCTATCCAATCATATGACAGGCATATTCCTGTCCACTGTGAATACCAAGTCACATGCAGATGCTTGTCACATGATTGGATCATTAAAGTGAACAAACACACCATCTTATGGAGTGAAGATTATCAACTCCTTTAGTAAATCAGTTCAAACTAGTGGGAATTTTTCAGCCACTGCTCAATTGTTCCCCTGATATGAGATGGGCGCTCCTCCTTCCCTGGGATCCTCCACCAATCGGAGCAGGGCAACAATGTCCACTATACTCCCTGTGTGATTCTATGATGGCAGAATAATAATAAAACTAATAAATGGAAGATGTGACCATAATAATAATTACGTCAGAGTTATAAAACCATAATAGTTAATAGTTATAATAATAGTGATGATGTTGGTTGTCACATGACTCCCTCCCCTCCCCCCTCACACAGAACAAGTCCTGGCTTGTCTCCTCCATAGTGTTTCTCCATAGCGGGGAATTCTGGTGTCTCATTGCCCCTCTCCGGCCTCATTTTTTCCCCCAGCCCCGGGCAGACTCACACCCCTAGGCCCATAAGTGTCATCACAGACCCCAGGCGCCTCCTCGCGTCCACCAAGGGTCACAAATAGGGCTAGAAATCCCCATTGCCTCTACCAAGATGGCGACCCGCAGCCGGCGCGACGTCACTTCCGGCTCCTTTCCTTATATTGCAAGCTCGGCTTCCGGTCTGCCTCCTTTTCTGCGGCGGCCTCGTCCTACGAACATGCCAGTGAGTGCGCGGATACTGTGGGAACCCCGTGGGGCGAAATGTCGGGGCGGATTGGGCTTAGTGGGGTTGAGGGGATACCGGAGAGTGCGGCACGTTACCCCGGGAGTTAAATGTGCAGCCCAAAGGCCTTGGAGGGGAGCAGGCCTCATGTGCTTAAGTGGGGGGAGGGTTTAGGGGCCAATCAGAGGGCGGGTGAGGATGTGAAGGGGAAGCTCGTACTAGAACAGGGGCCCATCACAGTGCATCGCCTGTGTGCGAAGGCTCTGACAGAGGCAGCCATTTCCTGAATCAATTCCAATAGCACGTGATTCGGGGGAGATTATCTTCCATCATGGCCTAGTCACACAGGTGCCATATTCTGGGCTGAGTTTTGATTTTAGATCTAGCTGTGTGTCGGCTGCTCCACTGTACTCTGCCAGCCCACCGGCGGCAAGGCCCGACTGACAGAGGGTGAGTGTCTCCTGCGTCACGCCGATCGTATACATGTCAGACACATACATGTTGGATCGGCTGTGAAGTACATTTTATGATGGGTGTTTCTAGCTAAGCAAAACGTTGATGAGATCCCTTAGGATGCCCTCACCTGAAGGATGCCCTCACCTGCCGGCCCCCTTAGGATGCCCTCACCTGCCGGCCCCCTTAGGATGCCCTCACCTGCCGGCCCCCTTAGGATGCCCTCACCTGCCGGCCCCCTTAGGATGCCCTCACCTGCCGGCCCCCTTAGGATGCCCTCACCTGCCGGCCCCCTTAGGATGCCCTCACCTGCCGGCCCCCTTAGGATGCCCTCACCTGCCGGCCCCCTTAGGATGCCCTCACCTGCCGGCCCCCTTAGGATGCCCTCACCTGCCGGCCCCCTTAGGATGCCCTCACCTGCCGGCCCCCTTAGGATGCCCTCACCTGCCGGCCCCCTTAGGATGCCCTCACCTGCCGGCCCCCTTAGGATGCCCTCACCTGCCGGCCCCCTTAGGATGCCCTCACCTGCCGGCCCCCTTAGGATGCCCTCACCTGCCGGCCCCCTTAGGATGCCCTCACCTGCCGGCCCCCTTAGGATGCCCTCACCTGCCGGCCCCCTTAGGATGCCCTCACCTGCCGGCCCCCTTAGGATGCCCTCACCTGCCGGCCCCCTTAGGATGCCCTCACCTGCCGGCCCCCTTAGGATGCCCTCACCTGCCGGCCCCCTTAGGATGCCCTCACCTGCCGGCCCCCTTAGGATGCCCTCACCTGCCGGCCCCCTTAGGATGCCCTCACCTGCCGGCCCCCTTAGGATGCCCTCACCTGCCGGCCCCCTTAGGATGCCCTCACCTGCCGGCCCCCTTAGGATGCCCTCACCTGCCGGCCCCCTTAGGATGCCCTCACCTGCCGGCCCCCTTAGGATGCCCTCACCTGCCGGCCCCCTTAGGATGCCCTCACTCCAGAGGTGTTGCTTCAGCTTCCAGATCACATCGATGAGATTGCCTGTCAGTGGTCACGACCAGGAGCTGTCAGTGGTACGAGGCCCACCTCCAAATGGCCACATTAAAGGAGTTCTAGCCGATCTGTGACAATGACTCACAGGTCGGCTCAGTAGATTGGGAAGTGAGCGAACACATAACGGCGTTCGCTCACTTCTTGATCCTGTCACGGCTGGGAGGGACTGGATTCTCTCCCCCCCACCCCTGATCCTCTAGCGCTGGCGGAACGGACGGAGGGGGCGGGTACAGCTGGCTCTGCCTCTAGATAGGCAGATCCAGCTGTCACTCACGCAGCTGGGCGGATCCCGGCATAATTTTCGGGATCCGCTTCAGCTGCGGCGTCTCGGTATACCGTGAGCAGTAGCTCACGGTATACTGAGCTTAGGGTAACGGGAGGATGCTGGTTTGTGTCCTCCCGTTACCCTAAGGAGAACTATGGGGAAAAGCCCTGACCCCATAGCTCTCCTTTTAATGTATACCTCTGCATTCAGGTTAGATAACATTGTGGAGGTAGCTGTATAATAGGGGCTCATGCACACCCTTACAACTTTGGCATTGCCCACCCCTGCTCCAAAGGCTCATGCACAAGGTAAATTCTGGGGTATTCCCCTAACCGGGGAGCCACAGGTGCTGCTTACAGCCTCCATTAGAAGTGAGTGGCTGTACATGGGTGTATGCCAGTACTTGGGTGCTGGTTGTCCTTCCACGGATGTGGGTCGGTATGCAAGTCCCGGTGTATAACCACATCCAGCGATTGACTTCTACGGGAGGCTGTATATCCCAGAATTCCCCCGGAAAATACTTTGTACTGGGTCAGTCACCTATGTTCATGAGCCTTAAGTGCAGGGGTGGGCAACACTGGCCCTCCAGCTGTTGTGGAACTGAAGGTCCCATGAGGCATTGCAAGACTGACAGGCATGATGGGATTTGGAATTTCACCACGGCTGGAGCCCACCCCTGAAATGGAGGGTAAGATGGAACCTTCCTTGGCTTTTTTTGTTTTCAGTAGCATGGGGGAAGGGTTTGAACTTCTGTCAGGTTTTTTGGAACTTTTCACTTCCTGTCTCGGGCACAACAGGAAATGAGAGAATACTAATTGTGGGAAATTGCCTCTAATCACCAGAACAGGAAGTGAGGGAAATCTCCTATCTCCTCCTGCAAACAAAGCAGTGGGTCCGGATAACCTGCACCCCAAGGTACTTAAGGAATTAAGCCAGGTTATAACTAGACCATTAATCCTCATTTTTAAGGACTCCTTAATGACTGGTAGGATCCCAGGTGTCCATATTGGAAGATTTGTCCTGTCCTGGGGACAACTGTCACATTTTTGGACTTCCTTTCACTTTGCCTTAACGAAAGTGGTCACCAGGACGAATGGAGGGTGGATCTCCCCAGCGGGATGACTAACCCCATCCAAAAAGATGGCTGCCATCATACATTGCAGTATGACAGACCTGAGCAGCAGAGGGGTGTGATTCCCCCAGGTCTCCAGTCAGTGTTCTGGTGGTTTCCTTGTACAGTGTGGAGTTGTCGCATTAAATTGGTGAATTTTTAGGAGGATGATTGGAATTTAAAGAAATGAGTTCACTTTTCCATGTGTCTATCTTCCTATCCGATGTCTGGGTATAGGATGTGGCTTCTGTAACTCATTCAGGCATTTCTAACTCATTCACCCAGAAATAAAAATCTCTGCCTTCAATGTTTCTGGGTGATGGCACCGTGCCTGGGAGCTAAAAAAAAAATTCCACCCCAGCCCAAGGTGAAATGGGAGAGTATGGTGGGGGGACTGGCACAATAGCTGGCCTTCTGTTTGCCATGGAAGGTTTGCTTTTATTTAGAAGATTAGCATGACATCCAGACATTTCCAGCAAGGTCGGCTGCTTTTAGTCCTGGATAAAACCCATCTCATTGTTTTTAGCTGTCTGTGTCGTGTCCCCTTGAGAGAATTGCCTTAATTTCCAGTTCTGGTGACCACTGTACAATTTTGGAATTCCCATCACTTCCTGTCTCTGACACCAGGACAAACAGCTGGTAAATCTCAGCAGGGACACAGGGCAACACAATCTGAAAATGGGGTTCTAACCCTCCGTTTATTGCATCCAAACCAAAAGTATTTTTGGCCTTGGACACTAGAAGGGGGGAGATGTGTCTAGAGTAAGAGAAGCCTCGGATTTTAACGGTTGTCTCCTTTTCCCGCAGGTTGCTCTTTCAGGAGGAAGCAGCACTAACTGTCCCCAAGAAGATGTGTTGCTGCGTTCGCTGAGTGTGGAGATGGAATGTATATTTTGAAGGACGCGGTGGGAGGGGAGGGCGCCTTGCTCATCCATCTGGGACACTGTAGCGCCCCATCCCTTTCTCTCAATAAATTTTGGATAAAAATTTTTTTTCTGTTTTGTGGTTATTTTCCGGAATTGGTTGCTGGAAGCTCTGCTCAGCATTTGTATTGATCGGTAGCACCATGTTGTGAAGCTCTGGTCGGCATGTGTATTGATTTAGGGATGCACCGATACTAGTATTGGTGCCGATAGAGTATTTGGGAGAGTACTCACACCGCCCAAGTGCGCCGATGCCGGAACTTTTCCTTTGACCGGCAGAGCTGTAGGGGAACATGGAGCCGTCTTCTCGGGCAACCAGAAAGGCGGGTGGCGAGTAATGGCCCAGATTCCTGACTGGCCGAGAAGCGGTCTCCATGCCGATTGCGATTGGCTGGGTAACGGGCAATCAGGAAGCCGGGTGGCATGTCACTACCCACTTCCTGGAAGCCGGTTCCATGCCAGCAAAAGCACCGGTATCGGTACTCTATCGGCGAGCAGCGAAAGCAAAATATCGGTGCTCTATTGAAAAACCAGTATTGGTGCAGTGATTGTCCAAATGAAGCCTTCACTGGGTGCATCCTCTGCGTGACTGCTGTAAGTTCTGAGCTAACACATGAAGGGGGATTTATCAAAACTGGAGCAGTTGCCCTCGGTAACCAATCGCCTTCTATATTTAGTTTGTTCAGCTAAGCTTTGAAAATGAAAGAAGCTGATTGGTTGCCCTGAACAACTGCTCCAGTTTTGATAAATGCCCCTTGTGTTTGCATTGTTGGTGTCCTTTTTCATGTTAGCTGCTTCTGAAAACGTAAGTGGTTCCCTTCATCTCTCTGGCCTCAATACAACTTTATAAGGTGCTGTGAGACGGTTAACCTTCCAGCAGAGAACTTGGAATATGCAACTGCGTGTTCCTAGTTCTGACTGTCAGAGAAATGACTTGTAGTTACAAAGCGTACCAATGCTACTAAATTTGGTCTGAGCGCCTAATCTTTAAAAAAAAAAGAGTGGGTAACCCTTGGCACCCCAGCTATGGTGACACTAAAATTCCTGTCATGCCTGTGGCTGTCAATCTTGCAATGCCTTATGGGATTTGCAGTTTTTACCACTGCTGGAGTGCTGAGGTTATCTACCCCTGGGTTACTGACTTGATTGTACTGTTGCCATACCTTTGTTATGGTCTCATCATGGCATTTTTGTGAGGTCCTGATGGATGAGAAGATCTGGCTCAGTCACTTCCAATTCATCCACAGAGCTCTTCAGTAGGATTGAGGTCAGAGCTCTGTGCAGACCACTCGGGTTTCTCTACACCAGGGGTGCCCATAAGGTCGATCGCGTAGCGATCAGTGGTAGATCGCGATGGAAGTGAAGCAGTAAGAGCGCAAATCCTAGGAGTGTAAATGGTGTAGGGACAACCAGTGTCAATGGGATACAGGTGAAAAAAATGGGGACTTACATGAGGAGCCAAGGATCCTGGCAAGGGGGGGCTCCAATGAGGTTCTGGCGATGCGAGATGTATTCCGTGTGTAGTTACATAGTATTTGAGGTTGAATAAAGACATTAGTCCATCAAGTCCAACCTAATTCTTTGTAGTTAAGGGGCCCCAATGAGGTTCTGGCGATGCATTCGGTGTTGTGGTCGCCAGATGAGAACTTGGAGGCAAAGCAGACCAGGTCCTAGGGTTTGGCCGTGACGGCTGGGATTGGTGCCATCAGGTATTAAGGTGAACACGGGAGTGAAAGGATAAAGTGAAGATTGAGACTGAGTGCTGTGTGTGCCGGAGGGCTAGTGGAGAGGCTGCCTCTGGTCTTGATTGCATTGTTTTGGGAAGTGGTGGAGTGGCAGAAGGCTGGGGAAGGACGTGCACAGAGCAGTAGTGGAGGAGCGATGCGTTTTGGAGATCCTCTTTCTCAAGCTCAAAAGGTAAGTTTCCTTTCGAGGAGATCCTCTTTCTCAAGCTCCTCCACTACTGCTCTGTGCACGTCCTTCCCCAGCCTTCTGCCACTTCCCAAAACACCGCGATCAAGACCAGAGGCAGCCTCTCCACTAGCCCTCCGGCACACACAGCACTCAGTCTAAATCTGTTCTTCACTTTATCCTTTCACTCCCGGGTTCACCTTAATACCTGATGGCACCAATTCCAGCCGTCACGGCCAAACCCTAGGACCTGGTCTGCTTTGCCCCCAAGTTCTCCTCTGGAGACCACCACACCGAATGCATCGCCAGAACCTCATTGGGGCCCCCGCGTGGCCGAGCGGCGGAGGATCGGTACACATCAGTGATATGCTCCGATCCTCTGTGCAGGACAAACACTGGAGCAATCAGCTGATCACTCCAGTGTTTGTAGATAACTGGGGACACAGTACTATGTGTCCCCAGTTATGAATGAACAGGATGTGATTTACATCACTTCCTGTACATTCATGAGTTTCTCAATGGGGAGAAGCACTCACTACAGAGGCTCCTCCCCATTCAGAAACTGGTGATAGTAAATATTTTCTGAATGAATGGGAAGCCTCTGTGCTTTCCATTCATTTAGAACAGAGTCTGCAGAAAAAGAGATTGAGGACTTTGTCCTCTATTTCTTTTTCTATTTCAAAAGGGAAATATCGGGGCTGTATAGACCCCTAATATTTACCTGAAGCCCCCCCCAAGAGTAATAAAAAAAAAAAAATCCTCGAGGCAGGGCACTGGGTGACATCACACGCCTGTTGGGGGGCACACGGTTTTTTATTTTCTTGCCTCGGGCGCAAAAGGAGCTGGCTACGGCTATGCTCCCGCAATGCTCGTCCGGCTGCCTCCTGAATGTGGCAGACGCTGCAGAGGGAAAGGGGTGGGCATGTGCAACGTCGGCCACACGAGCACCATGGGAGGACAGGACGCCGGGGCCTCTAGGACGCACTGGAATCTAAGCCGGCCGACTCCCTGTGTTAAGGAGGGGGTGTGGGGTTGTATTGCAGTTAATGGCACGGTAGCCATTCCCCCCGCCCACAGTGTGATCGCCCGCAGCCACATTAGTCCGGTCCAGTGTGATCTGCAAAAATAGTGCTTGCAGCATTTTTCTGGATCGCACTGGACTGGAACGCAGGCGCTAATGTGTCTGGGTTCCGGGTGCAGGCGATCGCACTCTGGGCGAGGGGCCTGGCTGCGGTGCCATTGACTTCAATGCACCGCCGATCCCGCCCCTCAATGCAGGTTTTTTTTCGTTGGTAGATCTCATCATTTGAAAAGTAGATCTCCATTCAAAAAATTGTGGGCGCCCCTGCTCTACACCAACTGGTCCAACTATGTCTTCATGGAGCTGGCTTTGTACACAGGGGACAGTGATGGTGGAACAGAAAAGTGCCTTCACCAAACTTACCACAAGGTTGTAAGACCACAAATGTGTGCAATGTCTTTGTATGTCGTAGAATCACCTGCACCCCTCACTGGAAGCACCTGAATTTGCTAATGAAGGTCAATATCAGGTATGATTGATGCATCCTGTGCCCACTTCTGCTGCTTCCCCATGCAGGGGGTCCTCCATGAGGACAGCATTCTAGACAATGACATAAGCGCTGTAGATTTCCTTTCAGCAGAATTCAAAGATGCCCCTGTCCCTTAGAACCGGGGTTTCAACAGCCATGCCACTAAAGCCAGTGAATGTAAACCAGTCTCTGGGACTGAAGATATAGAAGAGGCCACACAGCATCTGCCAGAAGTTTGAGCAGGTTGAAGTACAACCCCAATTCCAAAAAAATGTGGACGCTGTTTAAAATTTACAAAATTCTACAAAAAAACAATTCAATGATCTGCAAATCTCATAAACCCGGATTTTATTCACAACAGAAAACATCGAATGTTTAATCTGAGAAAATGGACCATTTAAAAAAAATTGGAATTCTGAAATTGATGGCAGCAACACGTCTCAAAAAAGTTGGGACAGGACCATGTTTACCCCGGTGTAGCATCCCCTCTTCTTTAAACAGCATTCTGTAAATGTCTGGGAACTAAGACCAGTTGTTGGAGTTTTGGGAGAGGAAGGTTGTCCCAATTTTGCCTAATGGATTCTAACTGCTCAGCAGTCCTGGGTCTTTGTTGTATTTTACGTTTCAAGATTGCCAATTATTTTAAATTGGTGAAAGGTCTGAACTGCAGGCAGGCCAGATTAACATCCGGACTCGTCTACTACGGAGCCATGCATCTAGTACGGTTTAGCATTGTCCTGCTGAAGCATACAATTCCTTCCCTGAAAAAGACGTCTGGATGGGAGCATATGCTGCTCTAAAACCTGGATATATCTTTTTCAGCATTGATGGCGCCTTTCCCGATGTGCAAGCTGCCCATTCCATACACATTAATGCACCCCCATACCATCAGAGATGCTGGCTTTTTGAAGTGAGCGTTGATAACAAGCTGGAAGGTCCCTCTCCTCTTTAGTCCGGAGGACCCGGCGGCCACGGTTGCCAAAAATAATGTCAAATTTCGATTAATCTGACCGCAGAAGTTTTCCACTTTGTGGCAGAACATTGTAAATGAGCTTTGGCCCAGAGAAGACGGCGGCATCTCGGGATCATGTTCAGATATGACTTCTTTCTATGATCGAGCTTCAACTTGTATTTTTGGATGGCCCGGCAAACTTTACAGACAGATTTTTGGAAGTACTCCTGAGACCATGCAGAGATGTCCATCACAGAATCATGACCGTTTTTAATGCAGTGCTGTCTGAGGGCCCGAAGATCACGGGCATGATATATTGTTTTCCGGGCTTGTCCCTTGCGCACAGATTTCTCCAGATTCTCTGGATCTTTTGATGATATGTACTTTAGGTGATGAGATATTTAAAGTCTTTGCAATTTCACATTGAGGAACATTATTCTGAAATTGTTGGACAATTTTTAGATGCAGCTTTTCACAAATTGGTGAACTTCTTGCCGATCTTTACTTCTGAGACACTCTGACTCTCTAAGATGCTCTTTTTATACCCAATCATGTGACTGACCTGTTGCCAATTCACTTATTTATTTGTAAAAATGTTCTTCCAGCTCTTCTTTGTTAGTACCACTTACTCTGCCAGCTTTTTGTTGTCCTGTC